CGGCCCGCCCCCGGCCCGCCGGTGCTGCGCCGCGCTGCTCTGGCTGTCCGCAAGGAAAACTGGGGAAAAAACAGCCTACCCCGACCGTCCCCGCATCGTCGGGGGGAGCATTTGTCACAGCGGCAGTGCTGGAGAGAGAGATGTTCTCCCAGCCGACCATGAGTAGTTTCATGGTTTGCAAAACCATATGTACCCCTGAACTTTTCAGATCAGATCAAAATGGTGGTAAGTGGTGGAACTGGCTTTATTTCTTCACGTGGTTTTAAGCCTTCTTTGGGTAAAGTACAGTTAGTCGTGCTCGTGTAGACCCCCTTGGGGCTGTCATTCCCGGGCCTTTCGGCCAGACCAGGGGTAGCTGAAGTATTGTGGGGCCCCTCCGCGTCTCTGAAGTGCAAACTGCACCAGCTGAGATGTCTCAAATACCTGTAGAGTCAGAAAGTTCCAATGATAGCTAAATAAGTAGAACATAAAGACTTCTGAACCAAAATAAAAAAACCAAACCCCACACAACTCCACTGAATTTGACATGCCAAAACTAACGCGGCCTATGTAATAAATCTTCCCGTTAATTCAAATGTCTGTCTTGAACATGTGTGCTTGGCTGGAATACATAGATTATTTTGTAGGTTACAGTGTACAACATACCCTGTTGTAGTCTACAGCCTAGACCTAATTGGTCTAAAATAATGCAGCCAGGCTCACTTCTGATGAAATTCCCCTACCTGAGGTGACAGCATTTATTTCAGAGAAGTTAATTTCCGTCACTGTTCAGAATCAGAGCTAATCCCCGGGTTGTATCTGTTTACATTGCCTAGAGGTTTAGAGTGCCAGCTCTTAGTTGTTCACTGATTATAAAACTCAGACATTCTCCTGTTGATGTAAGATCCTAGAAGCACCAACACTTGCAAGTGCCAAATGAGTATTAAAGTCATATGCCTGTTCTTTTAGTGACCCCAGAGTGTGATTTCACAATTCTTATTATCCAGTGGCTGTATGGATTTAAAGTATTCCTGCCCCCCTTTTCCCTCTTCCATTTTTTCCTGACCCTGGCTTGGGGTTGTTCTTGTTATTTGGGTTTTTTTTTTCCTTAGTTTTGGGCTTTTTGCTGGTTTCATTTTTGAGGAAAAGATTCTTCAATGGCCAGATGAATTCACTCATCCAGTTCACAACATGTTCTACAAATGTTTCTGCTGGTAAGAAGAGTGGATGAGCAACAGGTAGTGAAAAGCAGGCAGAATACTTCATCTTGTTTCGTGAACAAATTAAATGGTTATCATTTTGATGAGCACTTACAAAACCTCGACCTTTGGGAGGTCCTTATGGACTTCCATAAGGAGCACTGGTGTTACAGGTGTTAGTGTTATTTGAGCTAAGTGCTCCATGAACTCCCCGTTTCTTCAGCATGCTATTGTCATGTGCACACAGCAACTGTCTGTTGAGCTGGAGAGCAGAGATTCTGTCTGTAGCACAGGCATCAGCTGTACAAGTGACAAACGTTCTAAGACACATTTTAGGTCCTGATACAGAATTCTTCGAAGCTAGTAGAAAGACAGACGTTAATTTTGCCTTGTCTTCAATTATGGCAGTTTTCAAAGCAGGCAGCTCATACTTGTGTTTTCTAATCATTAAAGAAATGCAGCCTAGAGATCTGTGCAGCAGCAGTAATGTTCCCGCTGCCTTTTTTCTACCCTTGATATTTCAAAGATTTATTTACAGGTGAGTTTTGGTGGTGTAGGGTTGTTTGTTTTTTGGTTTGGTTTTTTTTTTTTGTTTTGTTTTGTTTTTGTTTTTGTTTTTGTTTTTTTTCCGTGGGTATAAAACAAAGTGGCATTTTAAATTACGCACTTGCTTGATTTTGAAGCTTGGATTCTGACCTTTAATGCAGTTTTACATTTGAGGAATGCAGCAGGATGCGGTTGAGGAATGGAAGTGTTTCCCTGTAGAGCTTTTCAGCACTGCCAGGACGGGACACAACGCGGCCCCCGCGGTTCCTGGCAGGGGCGGGCCAGGTCAGTCACGCAGCTCCCGCGCACTGTTTGCCTCTGATTTATTTCTCGGGGTCTGGTTCGAGGGGGAGGCGGAGGAGGAGGTATCTCGGTGGCTCGGTCCGTGAACAGACAGGTCCCGTGGTCCCCTCCGCGCCTTTCCCGGCCCGTTAGCCCCTACCCGGGGCTGCCGAGCGGCAGGGACCGGGGGCGAG